CGCACGCAGACGGTGGAGAGCGCCTCAGACGAGCTGCGACGGCCGACGGCCGACCCGCCGGCACCGGCTCCGGCCCGGCTAGACATCCGCCAGCTGGCGCAGGAGGCGCTGCGGCGCACGACGCGGCAGGAGCCGCCGACCGGCCTGCGCCAGCTGGCGCAGGAGGCGCAGAAGGCGATCGCCTGTCTGCATGCAGCCGGAAGAGGCGCCCCGCTGCCGGCGCCGCTGCCTCGGACCGCACCGCCGCCGCCGCCACCGCCCGAGCCGGAGCCCGAGCCCGAGCCCGAGCCCGAGCCGGCGCCGGCGCCGGCGCCGGCAGACTGCTCGCCGGCCCGCCTGCGGCCGCGCATCGTCAAGCCCGGCGAGGAGACGCGCCGCGAACCGGTGGACGACGAACCGGAGGTCAAGGGGGTACGCGGGAAGCGGAAACCGCTCTACTCGGCTCCGCGCCGGTCGGACGCTGCCCGGCGCGAGCCGCCCACGCCCAAGAAGGTGACGTCTGCCGCCAAGACGGCCAAGCCGGCAGCGACGGCGGCCCGCTCCGGCTCAGGCAGCTCGTCGTCGAGCTGCACGGTGCGCGGCACCAAGACGACGCAGCTGCGCAAGGTGATCAGCGGCGCGGCGGTAGCGGGCACGACATTGTCGCGAATCTCGCGCTCGACCACGCCCAGCCCGGCCGGCAGCGCCACCTCCAGCCCGCAGCTGGCGCTGCGCCGGTTCGGCTCGGCCGGTAAGGCAGGTGTGGTGAGCCGGGAACTGCCGCGACCGGCCTCCACCCCGGCGGCAGCGGCGGCGGCGGCGGCGGCGACGGGCCGCGCCGCTGTGCGACGGCCTGTCTCTGTGCCGGCAGCGGTGCCGACGTCTCGGCTCCAGCGGCCCTCCTGGGTGGGCTCCGTGCGGCCGTCCCGCCCGGCGACCGTGACGCGCACGGCGCCGGCGCCGGCGCCGGCCCTTCCCTCGCCCGAGCCGCCACCGCCGGCGCCGGCGCCGCTCGTCAAACAGGGCACGTTTACGCTGGACGAGCCGACCCAGGAGCAGACGGCGGCCGAGGCGGAGGCGGACAAAGCGCACTGCCCGCCGCCCGCGCCGACGCGGGCCGGCCAGATCGCCCGCGCCCTATCGGCCCAGCTGAGCCGGCCGCCCAGCGGCAGCCGGCCGCCGCCCAAGTCACAGAGCGGCCAGGCGCTGGCCGCTCAGCGTTCACGCATCCCCAAGTCACCCAGCTACGAGAGCACGCTAACGCTGCGTGTGCGCTGTTCGAGCCAGTCGCCGGGCGCGCGCCGCCAGCGGCCGGCCTCTCCGCGCCGCGGCCGCCAGCTCCGCCAGAGTGCCAGCAACTCCAGCATCAGTCCGCGCGCGGCGGCGCGCGGCGAGCGCAGCGCCAGCAACTCCAGTGTCAGCTCGAACGCCTCCACCGGCGGCGGCGGCCGCCAGGAGGAGAGCACCGGCAAGATCGCTGCCCTCTGGCGCCGCATCGAGGAAAGTCGCGCCAAGCAGCAGCCGAGGGGCGCCGACAGCCGGGTCTGGCTCAAGGCCGCCGGCGAGCCGGGCGACGCCAACGCCAACCGACCGGGCCGGCGCGGCCCGCTGACCGACGGCGTGGCGCCGCGCGCGCACCTCCTCTTCACGCCGCACGGCTGGCGCCGGACTCACTCGCCGGCAGAGTCGCCAACCGAGCCGCCGCGCGCGCACACCACCGCCATCATCCCGCCGTTCAATTACAACCCGCCGGCGGGCGCGGCGCGGCCCGCCGCCAGCGCCTCTGGTGACGGTGCTGAGAAGCGCAAGCGCAAGTCCGGCGCGCTCGCAACCACCTGACTGTGTCTCCCGGCCGCAGGGTGATGTGTGTGATACTGTGAGCTCGGGCGGTGCCGGTGGCGTGTGATGCGTGGATACACCACTTCCTCCGTCGGGCCGCAGAACCGGCGCTCACTTCAGTTCCGGAGCTCGTACTAGTATTCGCTATTTCTCTCAACGTCCCGAAGGGGCGACCGTACCATGCGGTTTTCTGTCTGGTGTGATAGATTTTGAACCTAAGGAGGTGATTTTTTCCATTGTATTTGTTCCGTGATAGAGGATCTTTGCGTCGCGTTTGCCTAGTTCTGAACTCGCTCCTGTATCTGCCTTGACTGGGATGGAGTATCATTGTGTACTCCTCTGCTCGTATATGGCAATTTATTGCATAATAAACAAGCAGCTTTTGTATTCTCATTTTCTAGCCTTGCTCAAAGCCTTCTTGTGTCATATGTCATATGTCAAAACCACGCTGTCTCAATGCAAGGCAAGAGACAACATTTACATTGGACAGGTGCAAGGTAGGCCACCACGTGTGTCATAACTTTCCGAGCCATCACACACAGCGACGCTGTGTCCAGCGACACGCGACGGGCGGTGGTGTGGGGCAGATCAGGCTGCTGGCAGGGGAGGCGCCCGGCCTCTGGCGCGGTGGCCCGGCACGTCAGCATCAGTTCGCGTTCCCTCCCCCCCGCCTGGACTGCTGTCGTCCGCTGTGTACCAGATACCTCTCCTGTATCTGATCCCAGTTTCACTCTCCTGTGTCGGTTCCCAGTCAACTCCCCTGTATTGGCTCTCAGTCCGACTCTCCCGTGTCAGCTCCCAGCCCAACTCTCCTGTATCAGCTCTCAGTTCGAATCTCCTGTTTCGGTCCCCAGTCCGTCTCTCCTATGTTGGTTCGCATCCCACCTCTCCTGTATCGGTCTTCAGCCCGCTCTCCCGTGTTGGCTCCCAGCCCGCCTCTGCTGTACCGGCTCTCAGCCCGACTCTCCCGTACCGTCTCCCAGTTCGGCTCTCCTGTATCGGCTCTCAGTACGGCTCCCCCATGTCGGCTCTCAGCTCGACTCTCCACTGTCGGCTCCCTGTGCCAGCAACAGCCCCGGCAGCTCGCTGCCCCTGGTGGCTCCTGGCCGTCAGCCGCAGACAGTGCGCACTCCGAATCCGCTGACCGTTTGCGGTCGGCCCTCCGCCACTGTCGACCAGACCAGGCGGCCGTCAGCTATACTGATCTGTATTTAGAGTGGTGCCCGGAGACCTGGCACCACGGCCGCCGGACTTGGTCAGCGGCCGGGCACGGCGCACACCACGTTTGGCAGTCGGCACTGACGCCACTGGCGCTGTTCGCAGCGCTCGCTGTGCACACAGCAGCACTGCGCCCGACACGTGCGCAGTAGCTCGCACCAGAGTTAGACTCGCACGTTCACACCCACGCAGGCCCGAATTACGCGCTATGTACGAAAAGACGCGGACTAGGAATACAACTGCACGCACAAACCGACACGGTCAGGGTTGCACCCGTACATACAAAATCGGCGCGCGCTGGGTTATACCCAATATATAAACACGGCACCGAACATCCCCCTCCCCCGGCTCCATCTCACAGCCACAAGGCAATGGCATTGCTGACTCCTTCGAAAGGTAGCTCACAAGGAAAACGTTAATTGCACTCGGTTCGTAACCAGACGGGTAACATTAAAACATGATAAATGTTTATAAGTTACAGAACATCAACATAATTTGTTCGCTGATTACACCTTCACTTAGCAATCCCGTTAATAATATTTCCTTTTAAAAAGGTGCCACAAAGACCCCGACGCAAGCGCAGAGCTGACCAATTCAGACAATACAAACGCAAAAACGCGATCGCATGAGCACTAAAAGGCAGTTTCAACGGTCTCCTACCTAAAGGTAGGAGATACATCAAGTACCTCCTCCCAACCAACACGCAATCCAACACGGACGTCCGTACAACCTGCAAACCCGTCTTGTGTTCCTTCCCTGGTCAGGTACAAAATACGCGCGTCGAGCAATACGCCGCCGCGCTCCGTCTGGCTCCGGGCCCGCAGTCCGTCCTCGCCCATACATCAGCCGCCAGGGCCCCCGGCGCCGCCGCTCAGCCTCCTGAACTGACGGCAGCATCAGCGGCGACGTCAGCGCCCCATCCGACGCGGCGCGAGCGCCCACGACTCGGCCCGGAAGACGTCCCGGACGCCGCTCCACACCGTTCCGTGATGTCGCCCGCGCGGCCCCGGCCTGACACGTGGCGCTCGCACAGGTCACGCGGTGTGGTAACACTGCTCAGCCCTCGGGCGCCAAAGGTCCCGAGCTCACGGGTCCTTCCCCGGCAGACCGCACGCTACGGCCCCGCTTCCGTCGGCCGCTGGGCGCGGCCGTGAGCTGACATGCACGCCACGACGTTGGTCCGCAGGTTGTCGAACATGGTGGACAGACCCTCAAAGGCGGCGTTGCCGATCAGCTGGCGCAGGTGGTTCTGGGAGCTGGTCAGCTGCTGCGCCGAGCGCTGGTCGACGCTGCTGGGCCCGTGCTGGCCGTAAGCGTGGCCGGCGCTGGGGTGGGCGCCGGCCACCGCCGGCAGGCTGGGGTGGCCGGGCCGCTCCGACTGCGGTGGCCAGTCGGCCGGCTCGGCCGCCGGGTACCGGTGGATCAGCTGGGCGGCCACGGGCGGCTGGCCGCCCTCCAGCCGCACCGGCTGCAGCTCCGCCAGGCGCGGCTCGTCGCCCGCCGCCGGCTGACAGAACTTGAGCACCGAGTCACGACGCGCCGTGCCCGCCGCGCCGGCTGGCCGCTCCGCCGGCGGCAGCGTGCGCGAGCCGCCGGCGGGCGGCGCGGCCATCGGATTGTCGGGCTGCCCGGCCGCGGCCGGCACCAGCAGCAGCTGGGCGCCGGTCGGGTCGGCCGGCGGCGCCGACCCAGCCACCTGCACCAGCACCAGGTGACCGGCGGCGGGCGGCGCGGCGGACGGCGCGACGGCTGGCGCGGCCGACTGGACGTCAGCCGGAAGCTGCGACGGCTGGGCGGTGGTCGCCGGCGCCGGCTCGTCGGGCTCGTCGTCGGCCGGGCTGCCGGCCGGGCTGCCGGCCGAGCGGCGGATCTTGGCGCGCGCTTCGTCCCGACTGAGCCGGTGCGAGGCGGCCATGTGACGCGCCAGTGTGTCCACCCGCCGGCTGGTCACACGGCAGTACGGGCAGCCGAACTCCTTCTCCTCTGCCGCAGGACGGCGCACACGTCAATCGACATCACGCGCAGGCCACAACCGGCCCAGAGACAACTAACGCAGCGCGACATTACACCGCAGCCTTCGGCAATGCACATTGTCAATTTAGACGCCCGAGCACGACACAACATGCTGGCAAGACACTCTGACATTCGTTGGATCCAACTTCTTCCAAACATGGCCTCAAATACACATATCCCCAAGTGTGGTGTCGGAGCTGACACCGTGTCGGTGCTGTCGTTGCGTCAGTACTGACCCGCGTGCGCCTGCTCACCTGTGTGGATGCGCTGGTGTCTGCGCAGGTCGGAGCGGCGGGAGAAGTGCTTGCCGCAGGTGGAGCAGCTGTGGCGCTGCGCCGGCCGCGGCAGATCATGGCACTCGCGCAGGTGCTGCGACAGCGTGGCCGGCGTGCGGTACAGGCGCGGCTCCGGACACACCGGACACCGCTCCTCCGCACTCTCTGCGGACACACGGACACGGTACAGGCGCGGCTCTGGACACCGGACACCGCTCCTCCGCACTCTCTGCGGACACACGGACACGGTACAGGCGCGGCTCTGGACACAGGATACCGCTCCTCCGCACCCTCCGCGGACATACGGACACGGTGCAGGCGCGGCTCCGGACACACAGAATACGCTCCTCCGTACTCTCTGCGGACATACGGACACGGTACAGGCGCGGCTCCGGACACACAGAATACCGCTCCTCCGTACTCTCTGCGGACATACGGACACGGTACAGGCGCGGCTCTGGACACAGGATACCGCTCCTCCGCACCCTCCGCGGACACACGGACACGGTACAGGCGCGGCTCCGGACACACCGGACACCGCTCCTCCGCACCCTCCGCGGACATACGGACACGGTACAGACGCGTCTCCGGACACAGGATACCGCTCCTCCGCACCCTCCGCGGACAAATGGACACGGTACAGGCGCGGCTCCGGACACACAGAATACGCTCCTCCGTACTCTCTGCGGACATACGGACACGGTACAGGCGCGGCTCCGGACACAGGATACCGCTCCTCCGCACTCTCTGCGGACATACGGATACGGTACAGGCGCGGCTCCGGACACACCGGACACCGCTCCTCCGCACCCTCCGCGGACATACGGACACGGTACAGACGCGGCTCCGGACACAGGATACCGCTCCTCCGCACCCTCCGCGGACATACGGACACGGTACAGGCGCGGCTCCGGACACAAAACACCACTCCTCCGCACCCTCCGCGGACATCGGACAAAACGAACAAGGTACAGTCCACGCATGGTACACCAACATGACGAGGTACATGTCACGCTGTGTAGACACACGTCACGCCACACAGACATGACACGGTGGCGACTACGTGCTGGACGGATAGGCTCGGAGAAAGCAATCTGAGTGGGTAGAGATATGACATGATAACTTCCACCGGACTGGACTGTAATTGGCGTGGACGAATGTGCACACGGCGTCGACAGCAGCTGCAGCCTCGGGTACAGACATCTGCGCTAGAAGCACAGGCAGGCGTTGTTGGTACAGTGGTAAGCATAGGTGCCTTCCCAGCAGTTTGCGCGGGTTCGATCTCAATCTATCGCAAATGCCCGTTTTAAAGGTCTATCCGGCAATGCACACAGCTGCGTCTATGAAACAGACAACCGAAACCTACCTCAGCGCTCGTCCAAAGACGCCGCTAAAGTTGAGAACAACGTTCGTCGGGAGACTTCCCTTCCCCATGAAACGGGCTAACTTAACGTCTTATACAAATTATCGCCGTCGCATATAAGCCAAATATAGCCTACACCAAACGGGCATACGATAGCCAGGTGGCCACAGACGGAGACATCACGTCCCACCGACAGTGTACCGCGGCGACCCCGGCTCGGTGGCGACCCCGGCTCGGTGGCGACCCCGGCTCGGTGGCGACCCTGGCTTGGTAGCCATGAGCCGTCTGATGGTCGCTGCACACCCACCCTTGTGCTTCAGCATGTGCTTCTTGAGGTTGCCCTGGTCGGAGAAGGCCCGGCCGCAGAGCTGGCAGGAGAAAGGCTTCTCGCCGGTGTGAGTGCGCAGGTGCCGCTGGTAGTTGTACTGGCAGGTGAAGCGGGTGGAGCACACGGCACACTGCAGACCGCCCTCTGGAAAGTGGCGGCCGCCGCTATAAGGCCGGCAACGCTGCACGTGAGCCGAGTATGGCAGTCCGCCAGCACCGTAGATACCTCAACCAGACATAAAAGCGGCACACTGCAGACCGCCCTCTGGAAAGTGGCGGCCGCCGCTATAAAGCCGGCAACGCTGCACGCAAGCCGAGTATGGCAGTCCGCCAGCACCGTAGATACCTCAACCAGACATAAAAGCCAACCGAGCGAACGAACAAAACTAACAAAGACCCGTTCACAAAGTTCCCAAACGCATCTGGACACTGCGAGAACTTCAACTCCTAAGCCGGATCTGACATCCCGGGAGACCATCGATGAAACTGGAAGCTGGATCATGTGTCATATGTGATCAATCTTATTTGACGATTTTTCGGAAAATACTGTATGTTCCTTACGTAAATCGCATGTGTCGTTAGGTGGCAGGGCACGCACCAGACGTGCCCGCTGCGTCAGACGGACGCCGCGGGGGCCGGACCTGACACGCCACTCACCTGTGCTGTGGGTGGCCATGTGGCGGTCCAAGGTGGACTTTTGTAGAAACTTGGCCGAGCAGATTGAGCATACGTGAGATGGAGGAGTGCCTGGTGAGAGTTATCCGCGTGAGTGACCAGCATGAGCCAGATGCGCACATACATACAACTTCATGTAAATGGCAACAATCAGCTTGGAAAGTCTAAATGGCCTGCCATGAAATCACCGAGCTCCGATGAATTGTCGATATTGTTATCAGAGCCTATCCGATTACGATAGCCTCCGTTGTCATTGAACATGCCCATCCCTGCGCGAAAGTGAGCATAGACAACACAACAGGCGCCATTACAGGCAACCGTTTTGTTTTGCGTTTCTTTTGCCATAATTAGAGACTCCAGACAATCAGCTTAGCCGTGCTTTTGCAGCAGCGATGTCAGTCAGCTGAAGCAAACACAGAGCTTTGGAACACAGCCGCACACGAGCACATACATGGCGAACTAAGCACATGACTGACTTGGCTACAACACACCTTTATGCCTGTCCATGTGATAGTTGTAATGCTGCTTTGCATTCCCTCTCCAAGGGCACAGAGAGCAGCTGAAGCGAGCCTTGCCCGTGCGACAGCGCACGTGGCTCTTCCAGTGGGAGAATGTAGTGAAGTGTTTTTTGCACTCGATGCACTCGTATTCGGGCTTTGATCCCTCTGTGGAGAACGTTGCACGCAAATTAGCGGCCTTCTTGGTCCAATCCGTCCATGGTAAACAAATACCAACCACATCCGTGCGATGCATATGTTGTGTATGCATCCCCGCCCACGGCGACAAGGCACTATGTAGAGCCACAGAAGTGCTGCATGTTGGGACGGTTATAGAAACAAAGCTCGTTATTCCCTCAGCTACACATCGCTCCACGCAACCTCCGCCACTCCCCTCGCCCCCCAACCACACGCACCCGCCCATACCGCGCCCAACACACCCACCTGTCTCCACCTTGCGGACCACCATGAAGGCAGTGAGCCGTCGCGAGCTGCCCCTCTTGGAGCCAGGAGTCTTGCTGCGCCGACCTTCGCCGTGACCGGACTTCGCCCTGGACTCAGGCTCGGCCAGTGACGTCTTGTCCCCCGCCATGTCAGAACTGCCGCTCTTCTCCACATCGACCCGGACGACTAACTCCGGCCGCTCGGTCTTCTCCTGGTCGACTGGGGCAGACGCCTTCGCACTCTTGCTCTCGTCCTGGTCGAGCCGGGCCGCCAGCGCTGAGCCCTTGGCTTTCTGCTGGTCGACCCGGGCGGTCAGCCCCGAGCTGTTCTTCTCGCCGGCGCTGCGGTCCTTCTCCTGCGAGCTCCTGCTCTTCTCCAGGTCGACCAGGGCCAGGATGCGGGCCTTCATAGAGCGGGGTGGCGGAGGCGGCAGCGCGGCGGACGGGCACGGCGACGACGGGCCGCCGCGGGGGCTGGCCGGCCGCTGCACGTCCGCCGCTGGCGCCGGCTCCTCCCGGCGCTGCCGTTTGGTGCGCGGCCTGGCGCTCTTCGACGGCAGAAGCTCGGCGGCGCTGGCCGCATGGGAGTGCTTCCCGACGGGCTTGTTCATGATGAGTGCTGTACTTTCGGCGAGTGTCTGGGACTTTCGTTTCGCCGGCTTGCGTGTGGGCTGGGGGCTGCTCGACCCCCGGAGTCCAGTCGAGCTGTTCTCATCCAGCGGTCTCGCAGCCGGAGCGGAACCGGCCGTCTCTACGGGGGACTGCCCAGGAGCAGCGGTGTCATTCATCTTCAGGTGCACAGAGGATGCATCAGAAGCGTTCACCTCGCCCGACAACGCTCTGCTGTCCACGTCTTTGGCTGTTTGTGTGCCCACTTCCCCGCGCTGAGGCGCCGGCCGGCGCGCGCGGGTGGCCCGTTCTCCGCTTTCTGTGCCATCAGACGGAGCCCGGTCGGTCGGTCGAGGCGGCCTTGGCGCCGGTGCGTCCCCGCTCACCCGGCCAGACCCCTTCGGCCAGCCCTGCGGTACATCTCCTACTCTGGCAGCCGATGAGGACGCCGCCCCGGCCGCGGACCTCGGTGCCGACACGGACCAGCTCTCCGACACAGGCGCCGTGGCGGCCGCCGGCCCCGGCGACGGGTACTCGGCCGGCGTGGGCGAGGCCGCGACGCCGGCCGGTGACGAGCGGCCGCGACTGCGGAGCACGCCGCCCGCCGGACGGAACGCTGAGTCGGCCGCTCCGGCGCCCGCCAGCTGACTGCGCAGCTGCAGGATACGCGCCGACGGCTGCAGAAAGGCTGCCACCCGGGCCGGCTCGTCAGCTGCGACGTGCTGTCGGGCCGGGGACGAGCCAGCGCCGGCGGCCGACGAGCCCGCCCATACGGAGAAGGCGCCGGCCGCCGGCGCGCTGAGCCAGGCCGGACCCAGGCCGGACGTCGGGCAAATGGCGCCCGGCTGACCGGCCGGCGGAGCGGGGGATGTCGGCGGGGCGTCCTGGCCCTGTCCTCTGGCGTCAGGCCGGGCCGGCGGCGCGCGCTCCGTCGTTCCGGCCGGTGCCAAGCCTGCCAGCGGCGCCGCGGGGCCGTCGGCACGCCATCCTGGCACCAGCAGCGGGCCCAGCCTGCGCTCCAGCTCGGCGCCGGCCGCCTCCTCGTGACGTCGCGACGGCCACAGCTGCTCGCAGCTCCAGTACGGCCCGGCCACCGCCGCCGCCTCTGCCTGTGGTGCTGCCGCCAGAAATGGTCGCGATCACGGCATGTTTGAGGTCCGTGTAGCACAAAAATCGGTGCATTTCCGTAACGAGCAGCCTAAACTAAATGACAATAATATGACCTTATCAGACACGGATGATGTGTACACCCAGAAACATCCACATTGTTTCACTTGGCGACAAATGCAAGGACTCGTAGCACCTGCCAGTGCTAAGAGATGTCACCGAATAGCACCTGTAGCGCACGTAGCAGACCGTAACCACCTTCACAAGAAAACATTTGGCCATTCGCAACACGACCTCAGCGCAAAAACGACCTTCAAGGAACTAAATGCGCCAGGAGAGACTCCAGTTGCGGGCGATGGTGGTATAGTGGTGAGCATAGCTGCCTTCCAAGCAGTTGACCCGGGTTCGATTCCCGGCCATCGCACTCGGCGTTTTGTGTTGTGAAATTTCCGCCAAACGACTCGGATAGACGACTCCACTCGGAAGTCGGATAATCCACTGTAGGCACTATACGTATACAACATAACGTGAATCATGCACAGGAAAAACCCCTAGCCCATCGACATTAATGAGCATGCCCAGCACAAATGCAAAAGGTACATACAGACCAGTAACCATAGATGACTTTGTTACAATGACAACATTTTGTGTAGATACATGTGGTAATAATGTAATGTAAAGCAGCATACCACACATTAGGAATAAAGCATGTTACACCAAAAATGATGCAATTTAAGTACTACATGGGACTACACAACACCCAGAAGCAGCACAAGCTGTTGTAGCCTCAACCACCTTACTGCAGGATCGTACCTTTACAAGACCAACACCCATCTTCTTCTGACAGGAGGCAGTACCGACACTTCACATGCCCGCAGGCGTCGGTGACGAGCCTGTTACCTCTTCCAGCCACCAGGCGGCGACACTGCGGACAGCCGCTACCGACTGAAAGAAACACCGTGAAACACTTCAGAAACATCAAAAGTAAGTACAAACAGTTATCTTTCTGCTATGCTTCAACAAATCCCAGTACTCGTCCCCAAAATTATCAAGCTACTTACCCGATTAAATAAAAACGCAATCAAGCTAAAATTTCATGATTTAAAAGGAGTATCTCACCCTGCTTGTACTTTTCACTTACTGTTACATCAGACGCGGACACTTTGATCAGCATTACCAGTGTTCTCGAAATCCTTCTGAAAAGCTCAGGATATCGATTTGAGGTAGCTTACCCTGCGGGAGAAATCTCCTTTGACTCCCTGTGCACCTCTATGACAGAAATATATATATATATATATATATATATATATATATACAAGTTGCATTGTTTTCCAATGAGCATGTTCTGTTTGCAAAACATTAATTCTGAGAAAATGGTTGTGATAAATGCTATGAAAGCTTAACACACTTCATTTAGACAAAAAAAAATCCCAACATGAAGTTACTATCACACAAATTCAATGGAATGTTGCACTTTTGATTTAATTTCCCTCCTATGGTGTTTATGACAGCAGTTCTTTTCTGGGTGCACTTTGGATTTGGGAATGGGAGCATCACATGACCCATGTGACGCATTGGTTCAAACTTCAAGAAATGCGCTTCTCAGTAAAAGGCCCTGTCGCCCCTGGGTAAATCACAAACATTCTTTTCTTGCACCAGTAAAGGTGCACACGATGTTGTCATGACGACGGTGGTCGTCACTGCAGGGAAGGAATACTGAGCTGCCATGAAGTGATGACACCATAATTTGGACTAAAAAATTAGTAGAATTGATATCCTTGTCATGTATTCACAGTGCTGCAGTGACACTACCCAATGGTATTGTTAGATGTAACTAGTCATAAAGTTTCACTGGGAGTGTCAAGACTTTGAGGTAATTTAAAAAACATCCTCTTGTGAAACCTCTGGGCCAGTGACACCTAGTGATAGCACTGCATAGTGTCACTGCAGCACCATCAAGATAAACTGGAAAAAATTCAATGATTGTTAAAAAGGTAGTTGAAACATTCATTTCTGCTAAGATCCCATGTTAAGTATTCCACATTAATATGGAGTTTTGAACTGAGATAGCCATCTTGAAAACCTTTTAGTGCTGTTGGCTCAATTCTGCAACTCTGTCTTCAACTCTGCCTTTCTCAAGACCCATGCCCATTTAGTTTCTGAGCTACATGCCTGTGAAAATGGGGGAGGGTATTTTGGGGAGAGCACTTCAGTCACCTTGGCATTCATGAGATCATATCATTCAAATCATGTCACTCTATAAGCCATGCAGCCATCAAAGCCAACAAAAGTAAAATTGCTGAGGCATTCATTTCTGGCATTTGTGAGCACCATTTCCACATCTAACAGCTATCAATCGGCTCTAAATCAATGCTGTGCAAGTTACCATGATGTAATCGAACCATGATGTGTTGAAAAGCATATTCACTAAACAGAGGGTCGTGCTGTCTAGATCAGTCTTTTTCACTTAAAAAAAATAGCAATAGTTATCAGTGACCTTGTTTGATCATATCTGATGCTTGCTTCAAAATCCTCAAATGTGAAACATTGCCTTTAATTTTGTTTTGTCCCAATGACTTTGCTAAGCTTTTATCACAGCACTACCCTTCTTGCCTTCTTGGTACTGCAGTGTAGTTCTGAGTCCATGACAATGTGGTTGTTGTGACTGCCCTCAATGTGACATAGGAGAATCTGCTCCAGACAGTCATCATCTGCTATTGACTAGAGGTACTGTATTTGAGCTGATTTAACCAGCTCAATGCAGGCTGATAGGCTTCAAAGTAACACATCTACTTGCATGGATCATATCAGTACAAACATTTGTAATTGGCAGTGGGCAGGCAGTGGGGGACAAACCAAAAAGCCTGTTAGTTGAAAATCAAGTTATTGCACACTACAGACCATAAAACACTGTTTTGCAATGAGAAAGCACATTTCAAAAATGTCACTGTACTTAACATGACAGCGGACAAATAAAAATCATGCCATAATGCATCAATGAATTTGCATCACAGACTCTGTCTTAGGCCTTCTCAACATTTATAACACAGCCATTTTATAATTTAGTTTATTACAAACTTTACAGATAACAGAACACACATGTTGATAAAAGCAAGGCAAGCAAAAAGTATTTATCCCATAGTGGTGAGCAGGAAGCCTGACAAAATCTGACTGTATTGGCCACTGAGCAGCTACCTCAAGTCAAAATTCTGAGTTTTTCAGATGGACTTCTAAAAACCTGCCATTACCAATCCAATCAGATGAATCTAACCTGGCTGTAAGTGAAAAGCACAAGGTTCAAATAATCCCTCTTTAAGATATGTACACAGCTGCACACAACATGGTCCATGATTCACTTACCATTTTGAGCCATTCTGTCATCATGCGGAGTGGACACTGAACACTTGCTTTTTAAGATGACACAAGGGGGGGGGGGCAACTCTGAAAATAAATTACAATGTTATACAAAGCACAGTTCTACAGCAAATTATTTAACACACAACTTTTGCCCTCAGCAACTGCAGCTGAATTAAAGATTTGAAGGTTTTTAGGAGATCACATGACAAGCTTTTCTTGATGGGGCATACCTTACACAAAACCAAGCAAATTACGCCAGCAAGAGAAGTGAGCTTCAGCTAAGGATAGCCTCTGACTTTCGTTAACTTCAAATGACAACACCAATTTTTTAAAGAAATGCTTCAATGTGTGATGTGAATATCAGACATGCATGTGATAAATACATGGCAATGTATAACAGGCAATGGTGTGTTAACTTAAGGCACTGCAAGCAAATGTTCGGTAAACTTCGTCCACGTCATATCATGCAAAGCCGCTCGATGTCATAAACTTAACCTCCAACCTGAAAGGAGCGGGGCAGGGTCGATGCGACCCTAAGATTTGGTAACGCCTCAGTAAGCCTCGCACTCAGCAAAACGGTCCCTTTCACCTGAATCTAGCGGGCCACCTATACAACATTGTTATCAACATATGCACCGGTCATTTATCAAATTGTCAAACACCTTCATACACTTCTCTGTCCTATGTCATGTCAATAAATCGCATTCCCCTCACGCCCGTCACTCACACAATTTACACGACCGGGCGCAGGAATCAGCGGTGAAGTTGTCAGCTGATTGTAGTGAAGTTCGCTTACACTTACAGCTGATTGTATGGTGACGTCACAAAGCCACAAAATCACTGTCAACCGTGGTAGGTTGCCTTTGTAAGTTCCGCAAATAAGTGATCGGATCCCGGCGCTTTCCATCACGTGGTCCCTGCCAGAAGGACGGCAAATAATGAATAAAATTTGTATGGTATAGGAATACGTTTTCGACCCTTTTTGCATGATCTATGAGATGGGTATGAAATGCGGCCGGATGGCAACCAGCGTGACCAGATAGGACCAGGCCAGCATATAGACAGTGTCAGACGGGATTTGACGGAAAAGACCAAGCCAGGAAAAACTGGGGGTACAAAACAAGAAGGCTGGATAAAAAAAAGACGAGACCGGCGGGCCGCACAGATTGAGATAGGGCCAGACGGGACAAGGCATAACTAGACGGGATGAGACGGGATCCGAGGGAACCGTACATGACAGAAAGGAGCGTGACGAGACGGAACATACAGAATGAAACCAGGCGGAACCGGATAGAGCGTGACGGGGCCAGCCGGAACAGAACAGGATAAGGTTAGATGTTAATGGAACGGACCGGACAGGAACGAATGGGACCGGACCAAACCGGACTAGACAAAACGACAAGGCGTAATCAAACCAGGCGCGCGTCCAGAGCATTGGCAGGGGGGGGGGGGCACAGGGTTGACAAAAGGCCTCCCCATAATGAAAAGCCACCTCGTCCCCAAAAACACGGGATATGCCATTTGTTTATGACTGCCTACGGCCGAAATCGAGGAACGCTCTGTCTCAGCCGTCCCCAATCGGTACAAGACACTCTCTGACATTTGAGTCCACGGGCCTACGAGCGGTAGCTCCTAAGTCATTCGAGCCCTTCAGCTTTCCAATCGGGCCCTTGATCTTTGGTTCCGAGGGGCCCTTCGGCCCTTCTTCGGGCCCCCTCAAGCACCGCTCCTAGTAGACTCGGGGCCGCCCGCCGCCTCATGACCCCCTGTTAGGCGCTGTGGGCCCTGACCGACACAGGGGCGCTAACCATTGTTACAGGGATCCAGACCAATGTAGTTCGTGGCCCAGGCCTTGCTCCTGCTCGGGGATTGGATCTCAGGGTCTAGACTGACGGGGCGAACTGTTCGGCGCTCGCGGACTCCGGCCAACCGAGACATCCGCACTGTCTCAGGGGGTCCTCAAGGGTCACATGGAACACTGCCCTCGGTCGGTTCGGCACTCCTTGCAAACACAGGACCCTCTGTTGGGCATTCCGGATCCCTGACAGATGCCGAGACCACGACCAGTGTAAATCACTGGCCCCGGCCTTGTAGCTGATTGGGAAGTGGGCCCCCAAGCCCATGCCAACACAGGGCTGACTTGCAGGACTGGTGGTGCCTGACCGACAAATAGGCCCACATCAACTCAGGGATTCCCCGATGAGCACAAGGCGCTTTCCGACTGTCATGTAAGGACCCGTTCCCGCAGGCTGAAGCACCTGAATAAAACCCGACCAGCCTTTCGTGCCTTTAAGACCTCCAATGGGGCCCTTGATCGTCGGTCCCGATGGCGCCTCCAGACTCTTCTGGCCTCCTCGAATACTACCTCTGGCCGACTCGGGCCCCTTGCCAACGCAGGACTCCCTGATAGGCGCTGCGTTGCCCTGACAGCCGCTGGGGCCCGACCAATGACAGAACTGGACCGGACCAGACAGAATCAGATATGACGTCATGAGCAGAGGCGGAAACTGGCGAAACAGACCAAAATAAGGGGAACCGGGCAGGATGAGACCAGACGGAACGGGGTGGACCCGGAAGAGACCTGACCAGACCGTTTGGGACAAGACGGGACAGACGGAACTTGCCGACGGAATGCCCCTGTTCGGCATTTCGGCCCCTGACCAACACATGACCGCTCTCTTTTTCAGGTGACTCAAACAATACAAATCGTGAGCCCGGCCTTGTTCCTCCTCGGGAAATGACCTCCTGGGCTGAGACCGACACGGAGCTAATTGTTGGGTGTCGGTGGTCTCCGGCCAAACTAGAGGCCCACATTGTCCCAGAAGATCTCAATCGATATAAGGGCCCATCTGACTGACATTTGAAGTCACGGCCCTGCGGACTGGGATCCTGAATGTGACCTACAGCCAGCTCTTCGCGGCCTTTAACCTTCCAGCCGGGCCCTTGATCGTCAGTTTCGAGGAGTATTTTGGGCCTTTCGTCGCGCCCTTCGACCACTGCCCTGGTCGACATGGGATGCCTCGCCAATACGGGGCCCTGGTCGACATGGGATGCCTCGCCAATACGGGGCCCTGTGGACTCCCGGCCAACCCGGGGCCCTCACTGGCTCAGGAGCTCAACCAATGTAAATTACGGGTCCCGGCCTTGCGCTTGCTTAGGAAACTGTCCACAGGTCCAGCCCGACACGGGGCTAGCTGTTAGGTACTGGTGCTGCCCAATCAACATAGATGACCTTAATGACTCAGGGGCTCCCAGTCGACGAAAATGGTCCTCTGGCTGCCATTAAGGGTCTGGCACCGTAATTCAGGTCGAGAGGAGCGGTACGGGCCCCTGTGACCTTCCTGCATGCACTATTGCCCAGGCAGCATTGTAAGGGGTCTTCGAGCAGATGTGAGGAAATTCATTGTAACGTGGAAGGCTTCTCACAAGTCAGATTAACCCGGCAAGAAGACATGCAGGGCCCTAGCAGGAGAGCCCTCTGGACAGCGTATTGAGTCTTAATATTTGCCCAAATGTGTTACGTTTTGTGCTAAAGCTGCTTCCGTCTGCCGGCTGTGGGTCCCTTCGCGACCTGTTAGCCCCTTGGGAATACACGGAAAACTGCCAAACTGTTCACAGTTTCGTACGGGACTACGCGTCTAGTGAACGATTCATAGCCAGGAGTCCACAGTGCGTAACAGGGGGCCCTGTGCGGACAAGGGGCCCGAGTCGACCAGGGCAGTGTTCGAGGGGTCTTGAGAGAGGCCCAGGGTGCCGGTAGTGTAGTGGTTAGCGCGTCTGCGTTGGCTACTGCGCGTCTGGGAAACCAGAGGTATGGGGTTCGATTCCCCGCAGTGCCCGCCCTTCCTGCCAGGGTAAGAGGCAGGCGACGCCATATAGCCTCAGCAGCTGAGTGCGTCGTGAAACCCGAATCACACACACATACATTAAGAGAGGCCCACAACACTCCTTGGGACTGACGATCAAAGGCGTGATTGGAAGGCTGAAGGGCCCGAAGAGCTGGCTGTAGGTCACGTTCAGATCCCAGTCTGCGGGACCGTGACCTCAGATGTCAGTCGGATGAACCCTTGCATCGATTGAGATCCTCTGAGACAGTGCGGGCCTCTAGTTTGGCCAGAGACCACCACCCCCAACAGTTAGCTCCATGTTGGTCTATGCCCAGGGGGTTCATTTCCAGAGGAGAGACAAGACGGAAAACGGGACGGGTCATGTGTTGGTCATGGGCCCGCAGTGCCGAAGAAGGGGCCTTCCATCGCCAAGTCCTGTTTGGTCCCGTCTTGTCCTGTACGGTCCGGTCAGGTCTCTTCCGGGTCCATTCGGTCCCGTCTGGTCTCGTCCTACCCGGTTATTCCTTATTTGGTCTGTTTTCACCCGGTTCCGTCTCCATTCATAACGTCATATCCGGTTCTATCTGATCCGGTTCGGTTCTGTCGAGGTCTACATGACGCTATTCTGGTGCATCCGATTCCTTTCGGTCACTTAAGATGCTGTTCAATCCTGTCTGATCCCGCCCGGTCGTGTTATCCGGTCCGGTTTGCTCCGGGCCCATTCGTACCTGTCCAGTCCGTTTCAGTAACACCTAATCTTATTCCATTTGGTTCCGTTTGGCCCCATCACGTTCCATCCGGTTTCGTCTGGTCCCGTTCTGTATGTTTCGTCTCGTCAGGCTCCTTTCAGTTATATATGGTTCCCTCGGATCCCGTCTAATCCCGTCTAGTTTTGCCTTTCCCGTCGGGTCCCGTCTGGCCCTGTCTTCAGGCTAGCCTAGTCCTATCAGGCATGGGTGTCGATGTCTCAAAATGATTGTGGTGGGGATGGGGTGGGGTGCAGAGTCGTGGGAGTCGCCATAAGGAGACAGATACGAAAAACTTTGCAGTTTGATTTACTGATGGCGACGATACATTATTCAAATATATATATATATATATATATATATATATATATATATATATATATATATATATATACATATATAATCTACACTTAAATTATTATTAAAGCTGATGTGCATGGTTACAGCAATCACAAGTGAAAGCCTGGCAATTTGCATAATCTTCTTATAAATGCATCTGAGTTGC